ATATTTTCAGCTAAACAGATATAATTAATATTTTCAGTTCTTAATGCAGTTTAGTGGTTCAGTCTCAAATATTCCATATTTTCAATTTCACTTATTTTATAATTATTTTATATATACATCTAGAATAAATTGCTAATAGAAATACTTAAAAATGAAATAAATGAGAAAAAATGAAATGCTTAATACGATAACTTCTAAACTGTACACAAGTTTAAGTGATATGTTTTCAACAACAACTTCCAAGGTATAGGATATATGGCAATGTGGGTTATGCAAAATTTTTATTTTAGCAATTTTCTGCAAGGTATACATCACTGTGGATAATAGATAGAAGATGATAGTACTGTTGAGGATTCAGTAGCTTTTGTAGATTGTTTAGAAAGTTCATATCATTGAAAAATATTTCAATAATGTGGATTTTGATTGACAAAAGCACAATAAAAAATACATTTGACTTCTAGAAAAAGACAATCTTGTATTTTATTTTATTTTGTAAAAAATACAATAATAATTTGTAAAAAGTAAAATTTACATTTGTCATCTTCACAATTTTATAAACTTTTAATAATAAAGCAGCTTCAAAGATTTAAATTAATCAAAAAACATTAAAAAATTAATATTTTCAAGCTTTTCATGTATTATCTTCAGCTCTTCATTCATTTCTTTATGTAACTATGTAACTAATTTTATAGTTTTACTTAAATTCAATTTAAATATTCTGTTCAAATTTAAATTCAGCAGCTCATGAAGACAGCATTCCTAAAAATCTTTTGTGGATAAAGATATGCAGATGAGATTTAAAAAGCATTGAAAATGTTAATCTCTTAAAATGTTTTGGACTTCATAAAATCTATAAAAAGCTTTTCTTATTAAAATGAATGTTCATGTTAGTCATATTATTTCTAGGAATTAATGATTTCAATATTTTCTGATTTCTATGAATATTTAATAATTTAATTAAAATTTAAATAATAATATATTTAATTTGTTTTTTTAATGCAAGTCAGTCTTAACTTTTGTTTAGAATTTGTTGTGTTGATTTATTATCAGAGTTGAACTCATTCTGTTTAATAATAATTAGTTATATATTTTTTCAACATTTATTTTTCTCCAACCTTGTGCTTTTCTCAATATTCTGATGAAAAATTTTTGAAATCTGAAAAAGAACCATCGATTTATTTTCTTGGAGTCAATAAATATTACATAAATTTACCAAAAATAAAGTAACAATAAAACAAGAGTCTTCTCAAATACTTTCAGATAATCAATTGCCAAACGATCGCCTAAATATTGGGCTATAACACGGCTAATTAAATGATTGGATTAAAGTAAATTTTTTGCGGGTTCAAGCCCCGTCCCGGGCCTGTTCTTTTATTCCAGAATGTTCTAAATTTATTTATTTATTTATTTATTTAATTTTAATTATTAAATTTACTTAAGAGATGGCGCCTAACGCCTACCTCTATTGTCAAATTTACTTTAATCCAATCATTTAATTAGCCGTGTTATAGCCTGATATTTAGGCGATCGTTTGTCAATTGATTATATATTACTCGAGCAGTGAGTTGATGTTATTTATATACTTTCAGATAATTAAATATACCTTCGGAAGAAGCACTATTATAATAAGTTCAAAGAGTAAGTTCTTACGATATAAATTTTTAAACTCCTGAGATATTACCATTATCATTTAAGAAATGTTTTCTTTCAGATAGATAATGATTATCTCCATTTAATCATCATTGCTCTATGCTGGAGAAAGTTTTTGAACTATGATTTTAAATTACAAAACATTTTGTTTAATGTTTTACAGTTTCTGCTTATCCGTTAATATAGAATTATACAAATTAATCAAACATAAGTATGAAAATACAGTAAAAAAATATAGTAAAATTAACATTAGTTTTTAAAAGTCTGAAGGAATCTTAATTTAATAGAAATCCATAGTGTTAATTCTTTATCTGTGTTACTCTTGTTAATATTTCATCATCTTTTAAAAGCCATTTCCACACTGATAGTAACACATTTGAAGCTTTGCTATTAATCACCTCACTTCTCATATTTTTCTTGTAAATCTATACCTATTTTGTATATTCCAAACTCTCTTTTTCTTTTATTTCTTATAAAATTTTATCATTATCACAATTTATTGAGATTTCTCTCTTGTATGCTCCCTAACTCAGTGTCATCATGGCTTTCTCTGTCCTAATGCTCTCTTGCACTCATCTAATTTGCAATTAAGTCTCTTTGGTTCCTAAGTATAACTTTCTCTCATTCTCCATTAGCAGAATACATGAGTGAAGATGGACTTGATTGTCTAAAATACTTATACAAAGACTTTTTTCTTTTCTTGTTCTTTTCAGTAAATTTGTATAATGTTTGTTGACTCCATAAAGTATATCATAGGTTTATTCATACTAAGTTGAAGTTTCTCTTCTTCAAATTTTGATATGAATTTATAAATGCTTTAATTTAATGAATTCAATATCAAAACTTAAACTAGAAAAACAATTTTATTATTATTTGAAAACATTTCAATAAATGTAAATGCAACAGTTAAATTAAATAAACCAGTTGCTCAACTTTCCCAGCAACATATAAAGTTATGGTAGCGCCATCTGTTATCATATTTTATTAAAACATTTTTATATTTTTAACTACAGTAGAGCGTCGTTTATCCGAAAGCTGGTTATCCGAAACGTCCGTTATCTGAAAGCATTCCAGTCGGCAAATTTAAATTTTCGCTAGTGCTGTGGCGCTTCAATCTTCGGTTATTTCTCGGGCTACTCAAATATTTTACATTTTTGATACTAAATTAACATCTGAAGTATAATTTTTTATTGTTTTTATATTTTTCAATAAATTAATTTTGTTTGTACAAAATAAAAAAATAATTTTAAAGATACAATAGTCTTTGTTAGGCTTAACATCGACGAAAATTCAACGCGAAGTGACACGCAATGGAGAGAAATTTCAACATGGGATAAATTAATATATTTTTTCGTACATGATTCGATATCCAAAAAATAAGTTATCTGAACCATCCCAGTCCCCAATGGATTCGGATAAACGAAGCTCTACTGTATTATAAAACAGCAAAATCTTAATTTTTGGGTAGGGATAAGTTTTACAAAAAATTGTAAATGTAAATAATGAGTAAAATTGTCATTATGTCCGACCCTACTGGAGATACATGAGCCCCATTATTTCCCCATCCCCTCAACCTTTAATCACCAAAATTTAATAGCATCAATCCCCCAAATAAACAAACCTCCCTGCCAAATTTCAGAAATTTTCAACAAAAAGCACAGGAGCTATTAAGCTTCAGACAGGGTAAACAAAATCATGCCCCCCCCCACACACACTAACATCCATACATGCAAAAAAATTTGGGGGTAATTTTTGTATTTCTTGACATTTCAAGGTGTCCTGAGCCCAAAAATGAAAAAAGCTGAGAGGGTCATATTTTGCCAAATTGCCATACTTTCTCTCTGTTGTAACAGCCAGTTACATAAGAGTGGCCAAGGTTGTAATAATATAGTAATATTATTGTATTAATACAACCTTGGGCTGATACTATAATAATATAGTAATAAAAAATGTGAAGATTGAAATAGGAAAAAAAATTAAATATATAAATACAATATAATATCAAACATATACAGGGAAACCTACCTTTGTATTATTTAAGTCCAACATATCTTTATTTTTAATTTTTACATAAATATTGAATTTTTATCATATATAATATATTCAAATAAATTTTTAAATAAAACAAAATATAATTTATTTCTAAAAATACAAATTTAATTTACTTTATTTACATTTTTCTTAATGCTTAAAACTATAATATATATTTTAAAAATTATATTTTAACTGTTAAAAATCTTTAAAATAATAAGATTAACATAAATATGATGATAAAAACAATTGAAATTTGAAAACACCAAATTTTTTTATCATATAAAACTGTTTTATCACTTTATTTATATATCATTTCTAATCAATTAAAGAATTTATAATCATCACTTGATCATTCGAAGCTATCCAAAAATTACTTCAGAAATGATATCAACTAATAAAATATAAGAAAGATGATAAAATCATTATCATCATATATAAAATTAAACAAAAAATGAAAATAAATAAACTTACTTTCATTATAAATAACACCTTTAATTTCATTTTTTTTATTACTTAGTTGTTATTGTTTATCATCTCTATTTTATTGTAATTACATTAATACATTAAATAAGGATAAATAGTATATTTTATAATTATAATCAATTACTTTCCTGTAATATTTAATAACAGTATCTAATTATTTGAAAATATCACCTTTAATCCAGAAAAATTCAAAATCTTAAAAAAAACCTTTTAAATTATTTTAAAATAAATATTTTAACAATTTGTTTTTGTTTATATATATAAAAAATTATCAAACTCATTCAATTTATTTTCACATTAAATATAAAAAAATTGATCAGGAAACAAACATATATATATATAATGAATTCAGGTATTTTTCTAATAGCAACAATCCTTCGAATAGCCAAGCACCGTGAAGGAATCACTGAAAAAAATGAAATATATAAATAAAATAAAAGAATAAAACCCAAAAATAAACAAGACACAATGATTTATGAAGAACATCTCCGAAGCAATCAATTTTTAATATCAAAATAACGTATAAAGCTTCTAATGCAAAGAACAGCTTCAATAAAAGAATAATCCCTTTTATGAAAAACTCCATCTGATAACATTGATAAACAAATGTCAAAAGTGAAACATGCAATGGTTTATTATTATACATTTCTTCCTTGTTTACAATGATATTTCTTAAGAATATCGAAAACGATTTGTTTTAATGTTATTTTAATCACCATTTGAAAATGAATCGGATTTTAATGTAAAGTGGAAATAAGCAGATTTTTTAATGTGGAAATAAGCGTTAGAAAGGGGGAGGGAAATAGCAATATTACCTTTATTAGCATACTTACTGGCATTCATTCATGATCTCTTCTTGACTTCGGACTTGAACGGGTGCAAATTTCTCGACTTTTTCATCGTAATTACAGAAGCATTTAGTAATTTTATCATCGAAAGTATTTACCAGATCCTCGAGTGACGTGGAGAACGTATCACTGAAATTATCCACGAATCCATCGTTTGCATTAGGGCTTTTGTATGTATCTTTGTTGAAGTTTTCATAATCGTCGGTATTTTCATATTCACAATAATCCGTCCATTCTTCCGTCTTTGCTAAAGGAGCTTCGATTTTGAGTTCCGCCATTTTGACTTCCCTCATCTTTCGGTCATCCGGATCTCAATGACGTCGTCGGCCACGCCCTCCAGTTAAACCATTCTGATTCATAATTTTTCCCTCGAAACAGCGTTTTACAGAAAATAACGAAATCTTCGAATAAATATCAGATTAAATATTAAACGAAAAGGATTTTTCGAGAATACAATATAAGAATTTTTAAGATATATCATTAGATAATAAAAATATTTTTAAATACGTGAATGGTAGAAGGTAAAGGGTTCGGTAATCTGTTGTGTTAGATTATAAGATAGAAATTTATTTTATGAATAAAATTTAAATAAGAAAATTAATAATAGTCTGGAAATAATATTTTCCTTTAATTTGATAAAATCACAATTGTGAAGAAAAAGCATATAATTGGGTCATGCTTTTCTATGAAGTACATGAAATATCGCATTAAAATAACGGTATTTTAACAGTTATTTTAATGCGATTTATCTGTTATTTTAATGCTAAAATTTAATACAGAAAGTTTTTTGCAATATTGAAATAAATGGTAAATTCAGAAACCGTAAAGAAAACAGACTGAATCGTCTATCTGGCCATCACGCCTTAGGTTTTTTTTTTTATCTAAGCAAACTCACCAGTAGAAATCGAATTTGGTAGCAATTGCTACTCTTTTTTTTTGGTTCGCAGATTGCACCACCCTGACAATAAATCTTTAGGGGGCATGGCTTTTAGTATCCTTTTGATAAAATTTTATTGTGCCACTTTAATACTCCTTTAGTCATATTTTGCTAAGTTATGCTAGGAAACCCATAAAATTTGTACAACAGAAGTTTGTTAATCCGAACCCAATAATCTGGAATTGTTCGATAATAATCAGGCATGCTAGTATTACTGTATTACGCTAATCAAAATTTGTTCGGATATACTATACGCTTTAAACCCACTATGAAAGATAGTCGGATAACTAAGGAGGTCAATGCACCATCCTACTACCTAGGATCAAACGGGCGGACAGGAGGCCAGAAAACCCAGGAATTTTTCATGGGCGATCTGTCCCAAATATATCAGACCTTGTTCCTCATCATCCGGACGCTTCAATGTAGAACTGGCTGAAATCACGATGATAAAAGCCGCTCTTATTGCCACAAGGCCGAAAGAACAGGAAAAAATTTCAGTCTACTCATCCCTTTCACAAAAATGGGAAATTTCATATACCCTAATCAGCTTAGCATGGGTTTATTTACCTTCTGGAGGAATTAATGGTAGTGGGTTCACGCCTGACCACAGATTGTATGAAGTTTTCCGAGTTTTCTTCACATGTCTAACACCTAAATATGGGCCAATTTTCCATAGAAGTCCTCCAGTGAGGAAGATTGCCTATATGTTGGGATGTCTTATCTCACCAATCCTACTTTATGGCAGACTGGGAAGTTTATTCAATTAATTCTTAAATCACTGTTGCGAGTAAAACTTTTGAAATACTCTTTTATCATTGACTTTTAATTATCAAATTTCTATTTAAAATTTGCTATTTAAAGTACTATGGTACTTATTTTATGTATAGATACAAAATTAACCGACATAAAAGAATTAGGCTAAATTAGGATAATTGACTGAAGTTTTTCAGAAATGTATAAAAATTATCGTAAAGTCTATGAAAAAATTTAAGTTAGCAGTTTTTAAAGACTTCGATGTAGAAAATTATGAATCACTTAGGTATAAATTGAAAAAAAAAACTAATTTAAAATCACGTTTGACAGCTATTACAGATTTATTTCTGCGTAGACTTAGGCTTTGTACACATTAGACGTTTTGCGTTGCGTTAAACGCGCGTTAACAGCGTACACACCGCGCGTTTAGCTGGGCGTTCGACGACCGTTCACACTGGCTCAGTTTGGAAATGGGCGTGAAAGTAATTGCTTGTGTGGCCTCCTCCATCGTCGCTATAAAAGACGATGGCAAAGGCAAAGAGAATTTTGGGTGCACCCAATATTGCGAGATAGACTAACGCATGGAATGTTTGTGACCAGTGCCGGCCCAAGGCAAGTTTTAGGATGGAGCGAGATCCTATTATAGCGCCCCCCTTGGTTGCCCCTAATTTATACCCTTTAATTTTTTTACCACTGAGGCACCCCCAAGGACTTAGCGCCTGGAGCGGCTGCTCCGTTTGCCCTATGATAGGGCCGGCTCTGTTTGTGACGTTATATCCAAAACTAAGACAATATGAACCCAAATTTTTTAATTCTTTTAGAATATCTATAAAATCATTTGACGATGGCTGGTCTCTTTTAGATTTCATCAATAAATAGATCAGTATCGAAATGATCGTTCCCATTTCGGCCAACGTACGTCCACTCTACCCGAAAGCGCGCGATCGAATGTACAACAACATGGCAACATATATATCTCAAAGCGCGCGACTGACGCCCGCGAAACGCGCGTTCTAACAAAAATCTATCAACGCGCGTTTGACGCGCGCTTGGCCAGAAGCGCGTGTTTGAGTATGTATACCTATGCAGAACTCTTGGTTCTTTAAAACGCGCGTTACCAAAACGTGCGTTTAAAAACGCCTAATGTGCACACAGCCTAAGCGTTTTTAAACGCGCGTTTTAAAGAACCAAGAGTTCTGCATAGGTATACATACTCAAACGCGCGCTTCTGGCCAAACGCGCGTTGATAGATTTTTGTTAGAACGCGCTTTTCGCGGGCGTCAGCCGCGCGCTTTGAGATATATATGTTGCCATGTTGTTGTACATTCGATCGCGCGCTTTCGGGTAGAGTGGACGTACGTTGGCCGAAATGGGAACGATCATTTCGATACTGATCTATTTATTGATGAAATCTAAAAGAGACCAGCCATCGTCAAATGATTTTATAGATATTCTAAAAGAATTAAAAAATTTGGGTTCATATTATCTTAGTTTTGGATACAACGTCACAAACATTCCATGCGTCAGTTTATCTCGTAATATTGGTTGCATCCAAAATTCTCTTTGCTTCTGCCATCGTCTTTTATAGCGACGATGGAGGAGGCACACACAAGCAATTACTTTCACGTCCATTTCCAAACTGAGTCAGTGCTCACGCTGCACTAAACGGTCGTCAAACACCGAGCTAACGCGCGGTGTGTACGCTGCTGACACGCGTTTAACGCAACGCAAAACGCCTAATGTGTACACAGCCTAACAAGACAAACTCTTGTCATCCTAGTTTCCTATCAAAGGAAAATATATACCAGCGTGTTTAACATTTACTCAAGTATAAAATAGATCTTTCCAGAATTGCACGAGTATATGCATATAGTCCACTGCGATGTTTACAGTAAAATACAGTAAATTCGTTCAACAGGGACATGTCGCACGGTAGTTCCGAGGCAATGCATGAATTTTCCTCGTCTCTCCCAAGCTCAAAGAAAGCAGAAGGAAATAATTTTAAGATGATTTAGCGTAACATACAAAAAATTTCTGACTGTAAACGATAAAAACCAATACTGCATAATAAAAGACAATTAGCTTTAGTTTGTTATAGCCTAATACAGGGGTCGGCAACTTATAATATGCGGGACGATTTCAGTGGCAATCTGATTGAATAGAAATGTAGTAAAAATTATATTTTAATTATTAATTACACATTTAAATGGAAACCATAGTTCAGTGTATGCACATCACGTGTAAGAACATAAGAACTTAGGTTCGGCACAACACCGCTGAAAGGTTGCTGACCCCTGTCCTAGCATATGTTCAAAACATTTTAGGCTAATCGTGATGCTACCGGAAAGAGTTCGTGGAATGTACATATGTAGAGGAGACGGTAGTATTATGGAACCCCATTTTCATTTTAGTGAATTGTAAACAAGGTATCATAACTACACCCACATTTTTTGTGCGAAAAGTACTGGTAACTATTAAACTAAATATTCCTAATTGGATTTTTCGCTAATGTAACTATAAGTATGGTTTTTGAAAGCTTTTATACAAAAAGTCAGAAAGTAGGCTTAAAGAAAATCGGGTGGTAATATGGAACCTTACTGTATGTTTTCAAAAAATGCTTTAATGTATCCAAAAACAAATAGGAAAGTACAAAAAATGTTAAATAATTACAAAGTTATTTACTCTAATATATTTTATCGAAAAATGCTTTTATAATAGAAAAATATGACCTCCATCAACAATATATATTCCAGCAGCTCTTTTTCGATATTCTCGGGAAGAATTGGCTTTCTACCTAATGTCTTTTTCACAAACTGCTCCGGACGAATGTCTGCTTGCAAATAGAGAGTTCGGAGGAGTTGGGTTCCATATTAAAAGCACCAATGGAATCGCCATCTTGAATTACCCAAATTTTATCTGTCAAGACAAAACACAAAAATCTGTCAAGACTAAATTTTAAAAAACGTGAACATCACACAGATTAATATGTACCCCTAAGTCTCTGGAACGGAATACATGCACCAGTGAACCTACAACTATACGATTTATATTTTAAAAATAATTAAATTCACTTAGCATTCAAAACTTTCGAATTTTGAAAAACATAAATTTGCTGATTCAATACGGACAACCGTTTAACTGAAATGAAACGGGGTTTCCCCGAAATGAAACGGGGTTTCCCCTTGCTGTGGATGTCTGCTAGTTCAGTTCAGCCACAATCCGCTACAGTTCGCTTTTATTATCAGTTCGAAATCGACTGGTTCCATAATACCCGCAGTGTTCCGCAATACCACCTTTTCCTCTACTGCTTCATGTAAATTTCGTCTCGTTTTCCAATAAAATATAATCATTTCACAGTAGTGTTTATGAGAAGACATTGTGCAATGTTCTACCATTCAGAAGACTGAATAATTTTGACTCTTACACACACATCGTCGTCATGTGTGTGTGACTATTACACACACACATCGTCGCACTGTAATTTGTCAAAATAAAATTTTTGACAAATTACAGTGTGGTGTGTATTGTTTACTAATCTACGTATTACCGCCAAACTTCTGCACGATTTATACATGTTTCTTTTTGAATGAATGAATTTATTTTACTGTAAACATCGCAGTAGAATTAATGCACCATAGAATGCATATTTTCGTGTAATGCCGGAAAGATCTCTTTTATGATCTGATAAATGTTAAATTAAACACCATGTATATTTTTCTTTTGGTAGTAATATTAGGACGATGAGATTCTGCGATGATCTCAATCCTAACAAACGCGGCACAAAAATTGATGTCTTGTTTTGGCTCTATGTATTTGCCGAAATCCGCATTTTCCGATATGAACATTTTAAAACCAGAAATTAATTCTTTAAGTGATAAACACGCTGACCAATGTTTAAAAGATTCTCACTTTAGCCGTATATTCCTGACTTTTAAAAATATATTGCTAAATCTTGGCAATGCATAAGCTCTATCATTAGTATTTATTGAGTTCCCAGTATTTCTTTGTAATACGATTATATTATAAATTAGATACAGTTCGTTTTCTAAGAATTGAACCGAAACGCTAGTAAGTCAATGTTATTATTTTGGAGGCATCTACAACAATCCCTTGTCGCTGCCACGGCAGTGACGTCGTAACTGGCAAAAAAAAAATTAAAAAAGGAAAACGAAATCATGGACACCCGATTTTTATTGCATTTTTAATTTCCTTGTCTCATATTACGCAAAATACCCTTGTGGTGCTATTTGCGGGACAAGGGTGATTCTGATCCCTGTATAGGGAAATGACCACCATCCAATGAAAAAAAAAATTACGCAAAATACAAAATCGACCTATCAAAGTTTGAGAACGAACTCAATTCTATAGGCCATTTAAAACAGGCTTCCCTAACAATTATTCTAAAATTTTTGTTCCTACAAAATGTTTAGTAAACATTATATATCAGAATCTAATTTTTTAATTTTTCCCGTACATTGATAAGTCTCGATGTCAATTTAAAAAGTAGATCACATATACAAAAAGGTTTGGCAGCCACGTTCTAAATCGATAAATGTGATTAAAATGCTATAGTAAATAGAAACAAACATTTTGTTACAGGGCTTGTGGAAGAAATTAGAACTCATTTAAAGAAAAATGTTATTAATTACATAAAAATTTAGACGATATATTAATTAAAACGTATCGGACGTTTCTCTTATATATAATGATTACGACATAATTAATGCCAATTTTTTGCCATTTACGTTACTCTGAATTTTTCTTACATTCTCTTCCCCTTTGTTCATTTATGAAATCTTTAGCATTTCCCGTCATTTCTACGTTTCAGAGAAATACATATATCATTTTTTCCCATATTTTACAGAAATTCATTACGTCACCTATATGCGTCAGAGTAAAATCTTCTTAGTAGTTTCCCATCAGCATGATAACCATTCTGGGGCCTTAGNTTAATTTACTTAAGAGATGGCGCCTAACGCCTACCTCTATTGTCAAATTTACTTTAATCCAATCATTTAATTAGCCGTGTTATAGCCTGATATTTAGGCGATCGTTTGTCAATTGATTATATATTACTCGAGCTGTGAGTTGATGTTATTTATATACTTTCAGATAATTAAATATACCTTCGGAAGAAGCACTATTATAATAAGTTCAAAGAGTAAGTTCTTACGATATAAATTTTTAAACTCCTGAGATATTACCATTATCATTTAAGAAATGTTTTCTTTCAGATAGATAATGATTATCTCCATTTAATCATCATTGCTCTATGCTGGAGAAAGTTTTTGAACTATGATTTTAAATTACAAAACATTTTGTTTAATGTTTTACAGTTTCTGCTTATCCGTTAATATAGAATTATACAAATTAATCAAACATAAGTATGAAAATACAGTAAAAAAATATAGTAAAATTAACATTAGTTTTTAAAAGTCTGAAGGAATCTTAATTTAATAGAAATCCATAGTGTTAATTCTTTATCTGTGTTACTCTTGTTAATATTTCATCATCTTTTAAAAGCCATTTCCACACTGATAGTAACACATTTGAAGCTTTGCTATTAATCACCTCACTTCTCATATTTTTCTTGTAAATCTATACCTATTTTGTATATTCCAAACTCTCTTTTTCTTTTATTTCTTATAAAATTTTATCATTATCACAATTTATTGAGATTTCTCTCTTGTATGCTCCCTAACTCAGTGTCATCATGGCTTTCTCTGTCCTAATGCTCTCTTGCACTCATCTAATTTGCAATTAAGTCTCTTTGGTTCCTAAGTATAACTTTCTCTCATTCTCCATTAGCAGAATACATGAGTGAAGATGGACTTGATTGTCTAAAATACTTATACAAAGACTTTTTTCTTTTCTTGTTCTTTTCAGTAAATTTGTATAATGTTTGTTGACTCCATAAAGTATATCATAGGTTTATTCATACTAAGTTGAAGTTTCTCTTCTTCAAATTTTGATATGAATTTATAAATGCTTTAATTTAATGAATTCAATATCAAAACTTAAACTAGAAAAACAATTTTATTATTATTTGAAAACATTTCAATAAATGTAAATGCAACAGTTAAATTAAATAAACCAGTTGCTCAACTTTCCCAGCAACATATAAAGTTATGGTAGCGCCATCTGTTATCATATTTTATTAAAACCTTTTTATATTTTTAACTACAGTAGAGCGTCGTTTATCCGAAAGCTGGTTATCCGAAACGCCCGTTATCTGAAAGCATTCCAGTCGGCAAATTTAAATTTTCGCTAGTGCTGTGGCGCTTCAATCTTCGGTTATTTCTCGGGCTACNCATATTTTGTATCAAAAATTTTTCTATAACATTAAACATGATATGGCAGTGTCCTACAATTTTTATTCTATTTTAATCAAAAATTTAGAAAATGGATTCATTACAAATAAAGTTTTCATAGCCATTATTTTTTTTTCAGTTCTTATTAATATCTATGGAAAATAAATAAAATTCTCTCTTAATAAATTCCATTTAAGAAATTCTAAATGATCATCCATTGTAAAATACTCCAATCTCTACCACCAAGAGAGATTATTCGGGCATCATCCTGTAGAAATCCAATTGCTGTAACATAACTGCTATGGCCACAGTATATATGGTGTAGGCACTAATTAAAAAGGATTTCTGATTTATTAAATTAACTAAATATTCATAATTTGAATCAATTTCTTTATTAGATTATTTATTATATGAAGCTATACTACAACAAAAATTTACTTTTAGAATTTTATAACTCAAAAATTACACTTTGAATATATATCAAATTTAATGAGATAGAAACTGAATTTATCAGAACATTTGCAATGAATAACTACAGGGTGGATAGAAAGTAACAAGGCATTGAAAAATCACTATAATTTTTTAAAAATGAAGTATAATCTTAATAAAATTTGTGTGCATGTGTGAAAGTCTGAAACTCTTTCTGTCTTAAAACAGTATAAACCTCGGAATTTTCTCTGTAAAGAGAAAAAGGAGAAAATCTGCGGTCAATGACCGAGACGCTCTCCCCAAAAAAAAAAAAAAAAGGAGAATGTTAAAATAGCAATGAAGGAAATCTCCTCCATTTGTTTAAAGGTAATTCTATAGATGTTAATGTCAACAAGATGGGAATAAGAGATGTTTCTTATCCCCTCTTTGGTTTCATGTGACACGTGGTTACAGCAATAAACCGCTTCGTTCGTAGTCAAATGCGACGTTTGATATAAACAATATCTAGATTGTTGATCAGTTTACAGAAATTATTGTCAGCTGAATGTTAATTTACGAATGAGATCTGTCAAACCTATAGAAATTTATATTATAAAATCATATCTTCTAGACACTGATATCAGTGAATTAAACAAACTTCTCTGTCAGTTGTCCGTACTAGCTAGATCCAAACATCAACACACTAACAGATGTGCATATAAATCATTAATAATATCTTAGTTTTCACCCCCTCAAATTTGGTATAAAGAGGCCAGTCATCAGGGTGGCCTTCAAGACAACAGGAATCAACCAATCAACTGCCTTTAAACACTGACTGCCGACGATGGACGACTGAGCAAGATTCTACTATCTACAACTTAGTAAGTAGAACTCTCTCTTTTCTCTCAGGTGGACCAGGGCTAATTAAGAAATAAATAGTAATGAAGATCAGAGACTATCCTCTTTCGGAAATAGGCGAGATGCAATCCAGCTAACCAATAATTGGAATTTCAGTTTGAAATTATTATTATTATAAATCTTGTTCTTTGTAACATTTTTATATAGCATTTGTTAATTAAATTTATATAATATCTTAAACATATGTGTTTACTCTTATTCGGCCAACACCTTATCGACTTATCCGTGACCTCCCACTCGATTTTCACCCTCCTAAATTGTCATCCACTGACCCTGTGAGCGGGACTCACCTTCCCGTTGTCGGAAAACAGCTTAAACCCCGATTCTCACACATGTATGGTACATCAATCAATGGAATTTTATAATTCTCACATCAGTGGTGTGAGCAGTGACCAAGAGAAGTCAAACATGCAGTGACAAAAAAAGATTGCTTCTAAACAAACAAGTAATCAGCCAATACAGATTGCTGCATGCATGAATGTATGAAACCAGTATTTGCTGTGCAGAGATGGCATATGGTAAAGAGACATCACGCCACAATCCATCCAGAAACAATCAAGAATTGTCATTCAAAGCTAATGACCACAGGTTTGGTTGCGGATAGAATATTGAATTTTAAGGTACGTATCCATATTTCCATTTAACAAGGTATATAGGGGAGCATCTGTCAGTGCTGTGTTTTTTGTTACTAATTTATTTATTTTTTATAGGTTAGGTGTAATTCTCTGAATTTTTTGAATAATTATTTGAGAGAATTGTGTTGTATAACTTTTGTGTTGAGAACGAAATTGTGGATGCCTGGCATATTTTGGCTAAATGCAGGCATCTTAAAGTATTATGTGATGAAATTTTTGGTTGTGAAATTCTTACCAGGGAGGCATGATTCCTCTACTATAAAATTAGCCTTACTGCTGGTGTTGTTTGGGAGCATCTGTCAGTGATGTGTTTTCGTTACTAATTTATTTCTTTTTTATAGGTAAGTTTTTATTATAATGGCAGTTAATCCGAAAAGAAAGTCATATTCACCAAGCTTCAGGGAAGGAGAGACTAGTAGTAAAAAGAAATCTTTGAAGAGTAGTGAGGAGGAAGAATTTGCATATCTTCTGGAAGGAGAAGATTTTAACCTCAAAGAGGGTATACGTGTCCTGTTGCATTTACATTTATCCACAAATTCTAAGGTCGACAAACTTATTTCTAGATTAAATTATGTATCCGAATGGTTAAAAAAGTTAGATGAAGGTTTGGCTGATTTAGATAATAGATTAGAAACATTAGAAAAATTGGCTGATAAAAATTGTATTTTAAGTGATCAAAGTAATGTTATGAAAAAGTTTAATGATATTACTCATGAACTTGATTTTTTGGATAATCAACGTCCAATAAATAATGTTGTCATTTCCGGTTTAGAAGAGGTTTGGGATGAATCGTCTCTAGAAACGAAAGAGAAAATAGTTGGATTTGCTACATGAGTTTTACAGATGCCTGACATTAAGATTGGTAGGGCACTGAGAGTGGGAAAGAAAAAGGCCAATTCTCCTAGATTAATTATTTGTACTGTACTTTTGTTGATTATTATGAAAAAATGTACTTTAAGAAACGAATTCTGGAGTTAAAACCGGATGATGTCTATGTAAATGATGACTTCTCTCCTAGAGTGAGAAATAATAGATTTAAGAGTCGGGATTTCGGTAGACAATCAAAACTTTCTGGAGCGCAAATGGTAAAAATAGTTTATGATAAAATTATTATTGATGGAACAAAGTACTTTTATGATGTTGATTGTGACCAGGTTAAGCCTGTTTCATCCTAGCAACTACCAGATAGGCATACTTCTTTTTTGATTTGGAATTGTGCTGGTTTATTTAATAAACCTGAGTTTTTTTGGAAGTATTTATTGCAGTATGATATTGTATTTCTTTCTGAAACCTGGTATGGCTCTACTAATAGAAATTTGGACTTAACTATTTGTTTGCAAGATTATAATCTTTGTTTTGGAAAGGCTTTTAAGTTCACATGAAAGATCGTTATTGTGCAGGCTGGTTATTAGCAATAAGATCCTCTTTTTCCTGTGTTGTTGTTTATCAAGATGACTTCCTAATACTTGTCAAATTTGGTGCCGAACTTGATAATATTTTGGTATGTTTTGTTTATTTTCGGAAAAATTGACTGGCAGTCTATTTTTGATACTTTAACTGGTTTGATATTAGATAATAGGAATGTATTGATTGCTGGTGACTTTAATGCTAGGATTGGATTGGAGAATATAATTTCTGATGCATTTTGCAATTCTTTTGATATTGTTTGTCCTTTGCATAGGAATTCGACAGACTTGGCGATTGATTCTTGTGGTAGAAAGTTGCTTCATTTATGTGATGATTTAAATATGATTATTGTTAATGGGGGATGTTTAGGAGATAAAGCAGGTGAATATTCCTTTATCTCTAGTAATGGTTGTTCTGTTATTGATTTGGTTATAGTTTCTCCATTAATTTGGAAAGATATTCTCTCTCTTCAGATGGATCAGTTTTTGGATTCTGATCATAACCTGTTGATTTTATGACTGGCTTGTGATAATGATAGATCGGTCTCTTTCAAGAAGAGACAGAGGGGTCTCTTTCAAGAAGAGACAGAGGATTAATAGATTGTTTTGGGATGAATTCAGAAAGGATGAATTAAGGTTGGTTTTGGAGGAAATATGTATTTTGAATAAATTTGATTCAATGGAAGACCTGAGTAATTGTCTTTTTAGTGGGGCTTGTAAGTCTGGATTTATAATATCAGGAGACATGAGAATTTTTTTTCATGGTTCGATTTGGACTGTAGGATGTTAATTAGTGCTAGGAATAGAGCCTGGAGATCTTTTAGGAAGAGTAATGATTCTAATGATCGTTTGCATTTTGTTATGTTACGAAGTTTGGTGAAGTGGTTTTGCATTGTAAAGAAAAATCATTTGCTGGTAAAATTCAGAATTGTTTAAGGAAAGATAATAGACTTTTTTGGAATTATTTCCATCATATTAAGCAGGCTGTCTTGAAATTTCAGCTTTATGCCTATTAATGATTGGTTTCATCACTTTTTTAATTTATTTGGTTCCTTGGATCCTCATTTGTGGATATTTCAATTTTTAATTATTGTAGGAATTGGTATGATGAACTTTTGGACCATGAATTCTCTATAAATGAGCTTAATGATGCTTTGAGGTGGTACAGTACAAGCCAAATAAGACCCCAGGTTTTGATGGGATCCCAATGAAATTTTGGAAATTTGAGCTGCTGAGACCACATCTTTTGAGTCTTTTCTCAAAGATTTTTGATACTGGGATAATACCGGAATCTTGGAAGACAAGTATTTTAATTCTGATTTATAAGAATGGTAGGAAGAATGTTCCTGGTAATTATAGAGGTATCTGGTTATCATCTTGTGCTTCAAAATTGTTTTGTATTATTCTGTATAGAAGGTTGACTCAATGGTTAGAAGTTAAAAATATATTGCATGAAAATCAGACAGGTTTCTGGGCTAGTTATTCCACACTGGATAATATTTATGTTTTGTATATGGTTATCCAGAAAACTTTTTTACAGAAACGTAGGAAAGTGTATACATTTTTTGTTGATTTATCTTCTGCGTTTGATAGAGTTTGTAGGAATTTGCTGTGGTTAATAATGTTGCATTATGGTTTTAATTATAAATTTGTATCTTTACTCATTGCTTTATATCAAAACTCCTCATTTATGGTAAGAGTTGGAGGTAACTGTTTGCCATTAATGTTCTCTAAGACTGGTGTTAAGCAGGGCTATATTTTGAGCCCAATTTTGTTTAGTATTTTTTGGAATGATCTCTTTGGCATTATTAATTCTTCTGGTGATGGTATAGAAATAAATGGTTTCCAGATTAAAATATTGGCTTATGCTGATGATATTGTAATTTTATCTGATTCTGTGGTTGGACTGCAGAGATTGATTGATAAATTGGCAATTTATTTAGATGAAAATGGTTTGAAATTNTATATATATATAATGAATTCAGGTATTTTTCTAATAGCAACAATCCTTCGAATAGCCAAGCACCGTGAAGGAATCACTGAAAAAAATGAAATATATAAATAAAATAAAAGAATAAAACCCAAAAATAAACAAGACACAATGATTTATGAAGAACATCTCCGAAGCAATCAATTTTTAATATCAAAATAACGTATAAAGCTTCTAATGCAAAGAACAGCTTCAATAAAAGAATAATCCCTTTTATGAAAAACTCCATCTGATAACATTGATAAACAAATGTCAAAAGTGAAACATGCAATGGTTTATTATTATACATTTCTTCCTTGTTTACAATGATATTTCTTAAGAATATCGAAAACGATTTGTTTTAATGTTATTTTAATCACCATTTGAAAATGAATCGGATTTTAATGTAAAGTGGAAATAAGCAGATTTTTTAATGTGGAAATAAGCGTTAGAAAGGGGGAGGGAAATAGCAATATTACCTTTATTAGCATACTTACTGGCATTCATTCATGATCTCTTCTTGACTTCGGACTTGAACGGGTGCAAATTTCTCGACTTTTTCATCGTAATTACAGAAGCATTTAGTAATTTTATCATCGAAAGTATTTACCAGATCCTCGAGTGACGTGGAGAACGTATCACTGAAATTATCCACGAATCCATCGTTTGCATTAGGGCTTTTGTATGTATCTTTGTTGAAGTTTTCATAATCGTCGGTATTTTCATATTCACAATAATCCGTCCATTCTTCCGTCTTTGCTAAAGGAGCTTCGATTTTGAGTTCCGCCATTTTGACTTCCCTCATCTTTCGGTCATCCGGATCTCAATGACGTCGTCGGCCACGCCCTCCAGTTAAACCATTCTTGATTCATAATTTTTCCCTCGAAACAGCGTTTTACAGAAAATAACGAAATCTTCGAATAAATATCAGATTAAATATTAAACGAAAAGGATTTTTCGAGAATACAATATAAGAATTTTTAAGATATATCATTAGATAATAAAAATATTTTTAAATACGTGAATGGTAGAAGGTAAAGGGTTCGGTNTCTCTCTTGGTAACTAGTGGCAAATACAGACTGGCCCAAGTATGACTACGGTAAGAGTGTGAGGGTGGATAAATGGTGGTTTAAAGGTTCTCCAATTCAAGTTGTCTCTAACTATAAATATTTGGGTATTACATTTTCGTTTAATGGTTTATTCCGTATGCATTACATTAATAAGAGAACTCATGCAAGAGTATTGATGAATAAAGTTATTCGATTAGGGAGATCTGCCAAACTATATAATCTGACTGATTATTTACGTTTATTGAAAACTGTGATTCTGCCCTCTTTATTATATGCTTCAGAGATTTGGGGTTTTAACTTGGCCAATGGTGTTGGCATACAGGTTGAATTTATTAAAAACTTATTTTATTTACCTTGTTGTACTCCAGGTTATTTAATCATGATGGAATGTGCTTTGACCCCTATAAAATGTATATTATTTAGCAGGATAAGAAATTGGATTATAAGAATTTCTAATCTTGATGATCATCGTTTGAATAAAGTCTGTCTGAAATTTATACTTAATAAAAAATCTATAGACTGGACATGTTATTTTATTGGTACCTGTAATAATCATGGTATTAATCTTATTAATTTAAAACCCCTTAAGCTCATAACCCGAGATATCTCAGGCAAGTTACATAGCATTACGAAAAACGCGGGCGTTTGGGCCTCCCAATTTTTTTTTTTGAATTTTTGGAATGTTTTTTAGGTCCCCAAATTTTTTCAAAATTTTTTGCCCACGCGAAAAAATTTTATCGCGATTTAAGGCTTAATTGCCTTTTAATGTTTTTTTAATGGGAGTTTTTTATCAAAATTAATTAATCGTTCTAAAATTGTAGTGCACCGATTTTCCTTCGGTAAAGTTATTTAAAGCTGCTTTCTGATGTCAAAAACGACCTCTGATAGCTTTTTAATTTTTTTAATTAATAGATTTTATTATATATAAGTTTAATTAAGTCAGGGGGTGGTCGGAAATCGCAATAAAAATTATAATTTTTTAAAAATATACGTTTAATTTCTAGTCACCCTACTTTAAAAATGATGAGGATTTAATGGACTGGTCTCTTCTCCTCGTTAACATTTTTGATATGTTTTTATACAGTATAAATGAAAAAATAAATAATAGTGTATATAATTGCTGGTATAAGGATTTAAATGTTACTTTTTTTGATAATTTTTTATATAATCAAGATGTTTCCCTTAATATTTTGTCTTTATTTATACAGGTTAGATGTAATTCTCTGAATTTTTTGAATAATTATTCTAGAGAATTGTATAATTTTTGTGTTGAGAACGAAATTGTGGATGCCTGACATATTTTGGCTAAATGTGGGCGTCTTAAAGTGTTGAAATTTTTGGTTGTGAAGTTCTTATCAGGTCTTTATTTCTTAAAATTTTATTGGAACCATGCTATCAATTTAAAGTGTTTTGTTTCTAAGAAAATCTGTTGATTTTTTGTCTTGGGGGCGTGATTCCTCTACTATAAAATTGGCCTTACTGCTGGTGTTGTTTGGGAGCATCTGTCAGTGCTGTGTTTTTGTTACTAATTTATTTCTTTTTTATAGGTAAGCAATTTGCTTTCTCTTTTGGTTGATTGTTTTATTTTATCTTGTTTATTGGTTTTGTATTATTATTGACAGATGCTCCCAAATCTTAACTTTAGCTTTAAACTTTAACTAATTATTATATTTGATTTTTTTAAAACTTTAATATTTAAATTGTTATTTATTTTAATTAATATTGTAATAATATATAATTTTTGATTGTGATCTTATGCCTATTGTATTTAAGTGTTTTTTTTTGGGGGGGGGCGATGGTTTTGCTTCCTACATCAAGGAGTGAATCCAGTATGCATATTAAATAAAAATAAATAAATAATTGTCAAATAATTTTCATCATCTTTGTGTTAGAAATATAGATATTATAGCAAATTTCTCAATGCCTAGTTACTTTCTACCCACCCTGTAAATGATTAGACTGATTATATTTCAAAATATAATGACTAAAAAAATATACTCAGATAAAATTTTTTCTAATTTATATATTCATATAAATTAGAAAAAATTTCTACTAACTGAAATTTTCAATAATTGATAACTTATTGTAAATGATTGAGTTCTGACTGAAAATCCTTATTCCTCCAGAAATTAAATGAATTTAAAGAAGTTTTGATATATCATAATCTTATTGATTGTATTTATCAGTTGAAGTTAATAGAACTTAGAAATTCCTAGATCAGAAATAGAATCATTGCATAATCTGCATTAATGTATGTGCTCTGCTTCTAGAGTAGCCATTGAGAGCATGACACTTACTAGTATTAAAGTTTAGAAGGTACTATCTCAAACATTAAAACATTGTTTTTTTCTGTTTCAAACAAACTTTAATATTCTATGATAATCAGATCATTAAATCCCAGATTCCTATATTTTGGCTAACAATTAATATAAAGTAATTTGTCTTAAAGATAGGAGTGGTTATAATGTTATTTGTACTTCTTTGATAACTTCTTTAATAACTAAACCCCCACTTCTATGGGGGTAAATCAAAATAGTTGTTACATGTCACAACACGATACCACCTTGGATATCACCCAGGTTAATAAGGTACACATTCAAAAAATCTGCCAGTCTCTCTTGGTAACTAGTGGCAAATACAGACTGGCCCAAGTATGACTACTACATTGCAAACACAGTCATTACCTCACTCACACACCAGGGTTTGGGTCCTGGGACATCTCGTGTCTCAAAGTCCCGGGACTTTCAGGTCAAGACTCGAGACACACTTATTGAAATTGTATTGTAATAATTTTATTTTCAAAAGGTTAGCCGAGCGATGCTTCCTTTGTTCTCCCTCCTGTTTACAAATAAACAACGCAGGTGGGAGTAATTTACAAGGGCGTGTGACTTTTAATCTTACTCTGTTAAAAGACAATCTTTACAAATGCATTTGCTACCATATTGTTATTTTGTGACATTTGTTTATGAGATTGTGATATTTGTGACTGTCTTTGTCAGCACTGTCAGCTCAGTCAGTCAGTCGTCAATTTCACTTTATGAGGTGAAGTGCTGGGCACGGTTGTGTTACAACGCTCTTGTGGAAACGACAACCATCTAATGTAAGTTTAAACAAACACTAGATTTTGTTTACTGCAGTTAGACGTTTACCTTGGATGAAATTTGTTTATAAAAAAAATAATTGATATGATAGTGATACTCAGTAAACAAAGATATATCATTAATTTTGGATTATTATTATTGTTTCAGATCATCAACAAATTTAAATAGATACTAACCTATTCATTTAATATGGAACGTATATCAAAAGTGTGGAAACATTATAAAAAAATAAACGAATCAACCGCAGTGCTCATTATGTCCAAAACAAATTTCATATAAAGGGTTGAATACTACAGGCCTTGACAGGCACCTGCAAAGAGTTCACAATATTTTTGTAAATCAGCCAAAAAAATCAAAATCAGTTATACAGTCTGGGACATCTTGTGAACTGGAATGTAAAAAAATTAAAACTGAAAAGCAGTCTACAATAATAGGATATGTTGCAAAAAAAGTCTTTACCTGAAATAATTTCCCGCTTGGCGGCAGAGGATGGACTTATAACAAGGGCAATCACAAGAGTAAATTCATTCATGAGAATATTATTCAGAGAGGTTATAAAATGCGTAAGAACAAAACTGATGTCATGAAAATCGTATTGAGTTATTATGAAGAGAGAAAAGAAGAAATGATTCAGACTTTAAAAGATTTTGTAGCTTCTGGTATACGCTTCAGTCTTTCAGTTGACGAATGGACCAGCATCCAAAACCGGAGGTACTTTAATTTGTGTCTGCATGGTGTGAACAGAGAAGTTTTCAATTTGGGATTAGTGTATATACCCAGAAAGTGCGGTGCCAAAGAGATCAGACAAATAGTCGAAGATACATTGAAAAGATTTCAATTGGATTTTGAAAAACATATTGTGGCCACCACCAGCAATGGTCCAAACGTAATGAAGAAGTTTGGAAGGGATAGTCCCAGCAAGATGATTCTATGCTTGAACCACGCAATACAGTTGTAGACACATTTTATTAAAAAAAATCCGATTACTGCCACATCCACAGCTTCTACTTCCAAAGATACTGATGATAGTGAGGATGAAATCATGAAGAACAACAACTCTTCTGATGAAGAAGAGGACTGCAATGTCAGCTACAAAACAAACTGCCCATTACAACCAATTGATGAAATTAAAAGAGTGCTTGATAAAACACAATTCCTAGTGAAATTGTTTAGAAAGAGTCCACTGAAAAACAGCCAATTACAGAAATATGTTAAATTAGAATTTGGAAAAGAACTCAGTTTACTACTGGATGTCAAAACGAGGTGGAATTCTATAATTATAATGGCAGAAAGGTTTTTGAAGCTAAAAAATTGCGTAAAGAAAGCGTTGATTGATTTAAACTAGTGTTGCAACGAATAGTATATTCGACCTCAGGCTGAATACCGAATAGCCGAATATTCGGCCAAACTATTCGGCTTGATTAACGCACATACGAAATTGGCGTGCTGCTCTCTATTGGCCCGCTGTCACTACGCTTTGTCAATCGCATTAATTCTTGACAGTTGTAGTGGACAGACAAGAGCATTATGGCAGTACTGTATGTGATAAATGATATCAAATGTGGATAACAATGAAATGACCTACACGTGTAAGTAACGAAAAAAGAAGAGAGAAGGATCGCAAAGTGAAAATGTGAAAATAAATATGAAATTGAGTTGATAACATAATCGAACAAGTTGAGGCAGCTTATTGGCACGAAATTTGTGGCCGTCAATGCCAAACAATTGTTGTCATAGACTTCGGAAAGCTAAATGCTTGTAATGAAAGTCACTTAGCGTGCACGGACGAAAGCCTGGGGCTGTTCGAGCTACCAAGCTGTCTCGAATCTGTGAAATCATAACTGTGACTCATACCGACATCCTATCTGTCTCTTTTCTCCGCTATCACCAAGTTATGAGTCACGTAATTGTAAAATGGGAAATCTACGACGAAAAAGTGACAAATCAAAAGTATCATGAGCGCATATTATGATGTATGCATACGTGGACTAGAGCGATAGAGGAAAGAGAAAGGGAAGAGCAAAGACGAGCGCTTAAAAAGAAGGATAGGCAGGGTCAGACCTCAGATGTGCGACGATTCTCGAACGAATAAGTGTGTACGTCTGCTGATCTTTGTAATTACAAATTGCAAATACATGTGACTAATATTATGTTCTTTTTTATTTTGTGCGTGTTATAAGTTATAAATAAATATAAACAAACAACACTAATCCGATAACATTAAATACCAAAATGATTAATTTACTGTGTTTTTGTTATTTCTCACTCCTGTTTTTAGGTATTCGGTATTCGGCTGAATAGCGAAAAATAGGCCGAATACTGAATAGTAACTGAATATTCGTTACATCACTAATTTAAACATGTTAGGCAAATGGAATGAACACAATCTTCTTCTTTTGCAGTCAATCATTACTTTATTGCAGCCAGTCAAGATAACTGTAGAAGCCTTAAGCAGACAAAACTCTTCGTTACTCATAGCCAAAGCAATAATTGGCGTTTTACTGAAAAAAATTCAATCGACAACAACAAATGATAATGTGGCAGTACGATTCTTTGAAACATTGAAAGCCCATCTAGAAGAAATAAGGTCACAACTGGTTATATGTTTGTTAAAATATTTGCACACTGGTCACCACAGCTCACAGTCGCAAAATACGATTTTTTTACTTTGAATTTGAATAAAACTGCATTTATTGCTTTTGTGAAAGATCTGTATTACAGATGCTTTGAAAATATCCCTCGTATCCAAATGCCAGATTTGGAAATAATGGATGGCAAACCCAGTACCAGTAGCTCTACAGTACATAAAGAACCTGATGAGTTGCTTCAAAGTCAAATGGAACAGGCAATCAAAAAAAATCAAAGAAAATGTACTCAAAATTTTTGCTAAAAGAGCAAGAGCAGCATTAAAAAAAGAGTTCCAGTTATTTGAAGCAACTGGAAAACAAACTGAAAGTTTGGAACTACTTTATAAAGCTTTAAACACAATAAAACTGACATCTGTTGAAAACGAGTGTGTATTCTCCTTGTCCGGAGGCATTATTACAAAAATCAGAAACAGATTGTCGGACAAAGCTGTAAATGCTCTGATGTTTTTAAAAGCCTATTTTATTAAATCAGAAAAGATGTCTAATTGCTAGTTCATTATATTATTTATGTGACTAATGAATAGAGACTAGGTGATGATTATTAATGATTAGTATGATTACTAAGTTGATTTTATAATTTTAAGATTTTACTGCCAAAAAATGAATCTATGATTATAAGAATTATACATACGAATTGTTTAGACTTTAATTAACGTTATAAATGTTAGGATTTGATTTTATGTTCAATAAATGTTGATTTTTACTAAAATTGCTTTTTTATTGATACATCTTGCCAAAAATGAACTTGATTCTAATTTTATTCTGAGAAGTCTCGAAGTCCCGGGATGTTCTGGGATTTTGATCGTGGGTTGTCTTGTGTCCCGGACTTTGAGAATGTCAAGACTTCCCAAACCCTATCACACACACAATAAATAACATACCCTAATCTGACCATAGTGCTTTAGTGGCAATCCAACCATTGATCATCAAGACCAGAAAACCATGTCAACAGATAAAGTGAAACTCTATTATTATTATTACTGGGCTGCAATTTGAAAAAAATTGTAGATCTATAAATTTCCACTGTCATCGATCTGCCTGTCTGTCCTTCCTTAATCTAGAGAATGGTGTTAGATAAACGAAAGTCAAGACCAAATACAGAAAACTTAGGGATAGGAGGTCATGATAAATGATATATGAACTTCTGGTCTGGACCAGAAGTCATGTGATTTCAATTCAAAAATTTTCTCAAAAATGGAGTTACATAGATGACTGGCATGACTGTTGTTATCAGCAAAAGTATGATGTTCAGGGGCAAGACACTACTAATTTGAATCAAGAACATATATTTTAAATTAAATAAATAAAGAATATGATTAAAAATTTCAGCCCAGCATTGTGATGATGTCAATAATTTTTGCTCATTAATTTTATATATTTACTTAATATTTGTTAAATAAAACATAAATAAGATAAAATGATAAAAATTTTGTTGTTTGGTGGCCATTTCATATTTTTATTACAGTTTAAGAGATTCTTTATGAAATATCCCATTTTGTATGTTTTCCATTTATTTATAATCATATCTACAATATAATGTTAACAAAAACTAAGAAATGCTTGATGCAATACCTTCTAAACTGATATACTAATACTAGTGTCATATTTTCAACCATTCCTTCAAANTTTCTCAAAAATGGAGTTACATAGATGACTGGCATGACTGTTGTTATCAGCAAAAGTATGATGTTCAGGGGCAAGACACTACTAATTTGAATCAAGAACATATATTTAAATTAAATAAATAAAGAATATGATTAAAAATTTCAGCCCAGCATTGTGATGATGTCAATAATTTTTGCTCATTAATTTTATATATTTACTTAATATTTGTTAAATAAAACATAAATAAGATAAAATGATAAAAATTTTGTTGTTTGGTGGCCATTTCATATTTTTATTACAGTTTAAGAGATTCTTTATGAAATATCCCATTTTGTATGTTTTCCATTTATTTATAATCATATCTACAATATAATGTTAACAAAAACTAAGAAATGCTTGATGCAATACCTTCTAAACTGATATACTGATACTAGTGTCATATTTTCAACCATTCCTTCAAAGGTGAGATATATGGTAATGTAGGTATGAAGGTTTTCTTCCCATTCTAGTAATGTTTCGAAGAGTAGAGATGAGTGCAGATTATCCACATAAAATTATGGTATATGTTTTGTGACACATTAATTCTGATAACATTAAACAACTGATAATAACTGACAATATCCATGATAACAGTAGATAGAATTTACTGTATAACTATAAATAGAAAGAAATTTAATAATAATAATAATAGCTTTCTTACCTTTGGTTGACAGGCAGGATAAGTATAAAGTTTAATTTTACCAGCATCATCCCCAGTAACAAGTAACTTACAATTATTTGAACGATCACATGCGTTGATATCTGTCCCATCTAAATTTTCTGGCCAAATTCCTATTTATTGGATAATATTTAATTTTACAATTATTTATATATAAAAATTTAAGAATAAACTTTAAAATTAAAAAAATTGTTAGCATAACTAATTTAAAAAAAAATTTATTTTAGAATTAAGTTTAAATAAAAAAAGTCAGCTGATATTTTTATTTAAATTTTTTCATACAGAATTTGAGCTTTTTTATTATAATTTTATTGTTACAATTTTAATACATAAATATTTTTAAAGCAAAGAAATATAATGATAAGAATGAAAAGATCATTGTATTAAAATTCAACAATTAGAAGATTATTTACAAATAATTAAAACTATTTACAGTTTTTGACACTAAAAAAGCAAGATTATTATAAGCTTGTATCTTTCATAGAATCACATCAGACAGCTTTTTAAGTGAAAATCATCAAAATCCTATAAAAACAATTGGAACAAACAAAATGTTCTTCAGAACAAAAAGTCAATTATCATCATAGTTTTATGCTTGATATAGTTTATTATTATAAGAACCTATAAATTTTTATATACAGTAGAACCCCTCTAGTCTGCCCTCGGCTAGTCCGTCACTCCGGTTAATCCGACCGTGGTCGGAGTCGAGAAACTTGTCCCGACTCGTCGGTGACTCACCATCCGTGGCGTTTTTCTGTGTTCGTTACAGTATATGTTTTACATTGTGTGTACATGTACAGTTTTGTGTGTGTTTTCAACATGTCAGGAGTGAAACGTAAACACGTTACTCTTTCATTAAATGAAAAATTAGCAGTGCTACAAAGACTGGACAAAGGGGAAGATTGTTTATTTTACTTTTTTCTGATAATCCGACCTTTTTGCGTTCCGACCATATCCCCAGTCCCAAAGGTGACGGATTAGAGGGGTTCTACTGTATTCAAAACTGGTGAAAATTGCATAAAATGCTTAATTAATAAGTGACAAGAAAGTTTGTACTTAATCCCTGAATTTGGATAATCTATATATATAAAAATGAATGTATGTCTGTGTGTGTGTCTGTCTGTCCTTCATGCATTACCACACTGTTTATCCGATTGCCGTGAAACTTTGGAAAGTTGTTTAATATATTCCGGCGAAGGTTTATGGCATAGTATGATTGCCATAAAACTTCAGAAACTATTTTAATACACTCCCGCGAAGGTTTTTGGCATAGTACATTTATCCTACGATAGATGGCGCGCGTTTACACGAGCATTCGAGCACAGTGTGTTCGATCGATTTCAAATTGTGAAGACCATTTCCCCCTTCAAAAAATATTTCTATATATGCATTTGTGAACTGTTATTTACGATATTCGTAATAATGTTTGTTTAATCACTTTATTTCAACTTTTTTTTTGCTAATTACGTATTCGCTCGAACTTTGTTAAAACTTTAACTGTATACCGAACAACAACCGAAGTTGTAGAAGGAAATTCGCCTATTTTACTGATCTAGGGATCCCCTTTTCCAAATTTTATTATCATCTAATAATTTAAAAAGACAAATTACAATAAAACGGTTTATTATCCAACTATCAGAAATTTCACAACATGCCAAGGAAGAGAGGAAGGAGCAATTAAATAATTAAAATTATAAAGGATTTAAAAATATATATAAAAATGGGGAATATCGCACTTCTGACAATCGCAGCGAGTGTGTGGGCTAAATTTGGAGAATCCGTGCTTCTCGCATGGACAACTGTATGTGGCCGGCTCACGCGTCGAAAAACCTTCCGATTTATTCGTGTACGCACCAGACGGAAAAACAAAAAATATCGTGTATCCACAAACACTCCAATAAATAAACAGAATTGAAACGACACTTTGAAATGTTTTCCCGATGAAAATTAATAATAATAATAATAAGTTTCAATAAAAATGATAAAATGTAAATTGAATTTTATCATAACGAGTTTGCTTGAATTTCCTTTCTTCTGAGATCGCAGCAATGCGCGACGGGTAAGCTAGTTAGTCTATAAAAACATTCACTTTTCAAATTTTAATGTCACTTTTCTGTATGCAATTAGAAGTTTTTTCATTTAGGTTTATATTTTTATAGCATTGTGTGTTAAAATTTATCCTCAAATTGAAAATGCATTTATTTTTTTTAATTGTGTAAAACTTCTGTTTTGACTTTTATTGTGAATTGTTATATGAGAATATATAAAAATTTGATAATTTAAACTCTGTATTGTAAAATGTAATAAAATAATTTAGTTAAAATCCTAATAACTGTTCAGATATATTTTAGTTTCCATCAAGCAATTTCTTTATAACCCAATTGCATGCTACTTTCAATTTTTTTTTTAATACTTTCTTTTTTGTAAGATATCCTAATTAATTCAGTCTATTTGTTATTTAAAATGTATAAAATACTCCATGAGCGTAAAAGATAATAAAAAAAAATTGCTTTACTGCAGCATATAACAGAAAAAAATTCAAAATTTGAGCACTTTCAGATTTTCATTCATCAAGAAATACTTATAACAGTGTTCTAAGCAGTTCCCAACCATAGATAAAACTTATACATTTTATTCTAATTGTTATTGTGTTATCTTGTTAGCTTAATCAATTGATAGTAGTTTATTCTGTATGAATAAGTGTGTTATTAGAGAGTTAGATATTAATGAGTACATTATCAGAGAGTCAAAATTTCAAATTTTTTAAGTGCTAGACAGTTGACTTTGGAATGAGAGTAAGAAAAGGCAACTCTGAAATCTTTACATTTAAAATTTAATATTTAATTTGAAATAAAATAAGCATAAAACAAAACAATTTTAAAATACAGTTTAACCCAATTATAACATCATCCATGGGACTGGCAATTTTTTGGCATTATAACTTAGTGTCATTATCTGCAGGGTCATAATTTCAGTCCTATAAAAAGTACCAAGTGTGTTTAAGAATCTATTATAAAATCCATTCTAATTCAACATTGTATGTATAACCATAAAATTATGGGCTATTATTAATTAATTAATAGATTTAACAGGCAAATGAAACCCGATAATCAAAGTCCTCTTCATGATTGGCAATGTTTTCTAGAAAACAACTTCTGCCATCCAAGTTCTAATTCAATTCTTGATTTTGACTGTGATTATGTCCAATTTTGGATGATCCAATTTCACTCTCTGAGCTAAAAATTTCAATTTGTAAACTAAAAATAAAAAGATCAGTCTCTAGTATGGATGGCATAAAAAACAAATTTATCATATATTTGCCCGAAGAAATCCACTTAGAACCACTTAACTTCTTTAATAATATCAAGAAGGCATCCAGATTTCTAGATCATTGGAAAAATGTGTTGTTGCAAATGATTTATAAGAAGGGAGATAGATAAAATCCCCAAAATTATCATCCAATAGCACTACCTTTAGGAAATTGTTCACCGAAATTTTGGCTGATCAGCCAAAAAAATGGATAAATGAATTCAATGTTATTTCCCAGGTTCAGGGTGCTTTTGTTAGAGGGAGAGGTACTATGTACAATGTCTTTATACTTAACAGTTTAATACATGTCCTGTCAAGAAAAAAGCATAAAATCTACTCTGCATTTGTGGACTTAGAGAAGGCTTTCAATAGAATCAATTTAACCATTTTATGGGAAAAGTTACATTTACTAGGAGTTTCAACTTCATTTATTAAGATGGTTAAAAATTTATTTTGTGATACACGGTATCATGTGAGAGGCAACCTGGCAAATACTCAGGGTATCATTTCCGGGGGTGGTCTCCCTCAGGGGGAACCTTTAAGCCCTGTCGTTTATATTGTTTGTTAATGACATGCCGCAGTTGTTTTTCTACCTCTAAATCTTCAGGATTTGCTTTTGGAAAATCTGTTGATTTACACTGCTTAATGTATTCTGATGATGTAGTCTTACTGGCAGATTCTAAAAGGAGCTTGCAACACAAACTTTCCCTGCTAGTTAATTATGCTAAAAGAAATGAACTTGCAGTCAATTTACAAAAAACGAAGAAAACGGTCTTCTGTAACAAAGGTAGTCTACTTAAATCAGACAAGATATTTGTGAATAATGCTGAAATTGGTTTTATGTCACATTTTAAGTATCTAGGAATATACTTTTCTTCATCAGATGCATATAATTATCATTTCGATTCAATAATGAAAGATATACAGAACAAGACATTCTGTCAACCATAGACTATCAAGAATAAACAGTAAATCAACAGATAGTCAACCATAACTATCTGTTGACATTATGCAACTTAGACTTAATAAATTTTGGGTTTTGTTAAAGGGCTACTGGCTAAACATATCAAGAGATAAGGCTTGTACCTATTGTGATAATGAAGTAGAAGAAAGCCTTCTGATTCACTTGTTTGGTTCTTATCAGATGACATACTAATTGAAATGCTCTGTTTTGGGTGAGGGTTTTAAGTATTATCATCTAAAAAGTGAAGATTTGTCTAAAATTACTTTATTTAAAATCTTCACCTTCTTTATTAGATCTTTAGATCTTTTGTGTTAAGTTATAACCATGTATACTAAATAATACTGTATAACCAAATTTGTTTCCCCATCTGTTATAAGAATAATTTAAATCAATAAACAATTTGAATTTGAATTTGAAATTTTATTTTGAAAAATAAAATTGTAATTTTGATAAGTTTGATCTTTATTGTTATAATAACTGAAGACAAAATACCAATATTTAATTTATTTCATAAATTAAGCAGATTCAAAGTTCAATAATTAAGTACAGTAAACCTCTCTAAAACAATACCCATTACAACAATAAAATGTACATAGTCCCAGCCTAAGTCCTATATAGATACTGTAATTTATCACCTGCTATAACAATAGTAAAAACCGTGATATAACAATACAACTATCAGGATATGTTGATGCAACCCATGGCAGATTTAAATGTTTTATTTTGGTTGACTGATGCGGGAACCACATTGTGAAGAGCTAGGAGCCCCTACTTGCTAATCTTCTTACCCATGAACCCGCCCCACATTCCAAAATAGTTTGCCCACAATCAGCTAATTGGCTGCTTTGCAACAGTCATCACTGCCTCAATCAATCCTAATATGAGGAACTGCAAGCACCTGACCAATTAATTATGAAACATTTTCTTTTACCACTAGACAAGCAGTACTAGCATGTGAATGAAAAAAATGATAAAAGCATATAAATAGATAAGTTTGAAAATTAAGTTAGAAACTTTCAAAGATATTGATAGTAGAATGAAACAAACAGAAGTTGCAGAGAAGTATGGCTCAATCAATCCTAGCAACATTTTTAAAGAAATGGAAGGTAATTGGGTGCAGTATAGTAGGTGGAAACTTAGATCTGTTTTGGAAATGTTCTGAAGTAACCTACTTGTGATGATGTCAACAGTGTAACATTCCCTTGGCCTACTGAAATGTGGGCACAGAATATGAATGACCTAATCTTCATTTTCTTAATAATCTTGGTTCTTAAATTTCAAGAGCTCATAACAATAATAACCCCAGTATAACAATACTATTTTCCTGGTCCCCAAAATATCATTGAAGTGAGATTTGACTTTATTTTACTTAACTTTGTACATTAAATTAAATCAAGAATTACTTTTTATAATTCATAAAATTAATTTCTACTTTAAAATAATTTTTTTCTTAAGTAAAAAAAGTTATCTTGTGTAAAAATATAATAAATTAGCTGAACATTTAATTTTTTTTATATAACTTAACAAATACAAACCAAAAACAAAAAATCCATGTGTACAGTTGTGAGTCTTCCATTTAACATCTCGAGCTATTGACATATTTGTCAGTGGTCTACAAACACTTGCATTCCCTGAAATAAAATTAAATATCCTATTAACATTAAATTTAGAATAAAAATTTTTAATATAACAGTACAAATCCAAAATAAAATGTTCATTATGATAAATATTTTTTTAATAATGATCTGTATAAATGTAAGAAAAAATTGAATCTAAATGATAAATTATTCCAATTTCTCAAAAGTAAAGATGAACTAAGTGTAATTTTTGAATTACATCTGTAAAGAACTTGAATGTAACAAATACTGTAAATATCTTAAACTTTAGAAATCTTAATTGGGTACATTCAAAACGTTGTTCTATTTGAATTGTTGGAACATCAAATGTTGAGCTGAAAATGGGATTGAAAACTCCAAGTAACACTTAATCCAAATAAATAATATCCTGACTCCTGTAACTGTTTTCAGTTTCTTTCTTTTATTTATTTACTTTTAACAACATTTACTATTATTTAGATCAGTGGTCCCCAACCCCCGGGCCACGGAACAGTACCGGTCCATGGATCAAATGGTACTGGGCTGCCCATGGAACATTAAATTATTTCCATTTTATTTACTATGGTGTATTTCCTCAGGTTTGTGCGACTTTTAATGAACGACGGAACAACAGAATAAACTGGACATAAGAAACACACTTCAGGCGTCATTGTCTCCTATTACCCCCAGAGGGAACCATCTCGTTGCAATGAAACAAGCTCAGGGTTCTCGTTGATTTAGCATTCTAGCGAGTTAAAATGTTAAATCACATTATATTCATTTTTTTGGTGTAACTGTATTTTATTTTGAAGGCATGTTTAAATACAATTAAATTAAAATTATTAAATTAAATCAATCTAAAATATAAACAATCAATGTCCCACCCTCAGTGGGCCGCGGTAAAATGATCAAACTTTGACCTGTCCGCGGCGATAAAAAGGTTAGGGACTACTGATTTAGATGATAACAGTTAAAATTTGATATATATCATTTTTTTAAATGTTTAATTGTTTTGCTTTACTGATATCCAGTTGCCACAAGGACTAAATTAGAACATTTAATCCTTATGGCAACTTACATTTTAATCCTCAAATCGGAGCATTTAAAGATTAAAATATTATTCTTACTTGTTTAAGTAGTTTAGCTTTTAAATTCTTTAGAATGTTATTTATTTTTATGAAATCTGAGAATTAATGTTTAATTAATTTTTCTGATAAAACAAATTAAACAGAAAATGTTTATATAAAATATAAATCAGCTTAAAGTATTAAATAATAATTTTTAAAAGAAACCATAAACTTTTAATTTAAGTTTAATTCTATAATATTAAGCAAATAAAACTAGATAAAATAAATAGATTCTAATTTTTAAATGTGAATTAAAAATGACTTTAACTATTTTTACAAATAGAAAAAAATGTTAATTATATACTAACAATATAATAATTCATGATCTCCTGATGTTGTTTGAATATAAGTACTGTCTTCTGACCAATCAATATGCACTATCAAATTTGAATGACCCTTAAAAAAAGTAAAATTAATNGTCACCTTAACCGCTCGGTTGTAAACATAAAAATCATTGTATTATAGATTAAGACGATTGCATTTTAACCGAAATTAATGATTATTATAGGATAAATATTTGATAATTTTTAAACAAAATAATTTACCACACAACGACCAATTCTATGGTATTTTTTATAATCTTCATCAACTTGATAAACATATACATGGTTGTCATGAGATCCTACCGCTAAATAATGGCCATCTAATTATTAACAAACAACAATTAGATAAATTACAAAACACAAAGACTATACATAAAATATAAACTTACCAGGAGAAAATTTAACACAGCTTACAGGTTCAACTCCATCTGTGTGCATAAAATATATCTGCCGAGTAGTAGCATCCATTGCCATCCATTGGCCTGAAGTTGTGGCTAAGATCAAAATATTGCCATCAGGTGAAAAACAAGCTGATCGAATAGGATGCTAAAAAAAAAAAAACACATTTATTATCAAAAAAGTTATATCTCCCATATAAAATCTGCAAAACGTTCTTCTATAATGTCATATTTTATCAATTTCTTGATATTTTAATGTATTAATTAATCTATCATTTAGTATTTTAATGCTTTAATCTATCTGTATTATTTTAAATTATATCCTAGAAACCAATATTTATTATTGGCCTAAGTAACCATTTTAAAGACATTCTATAAAGCTGCTTTCATTCTAAAAACATTCATATGATGAATTCGAGATAATAAATATTTTAAAAATTGTTAAGTATTTGCTATTAAATTAAAATGTATTCATTCAATTAGAAGTATTTTTTATTTGTTTGTAAGATTATTTCAAGGAGTTGTGAAATATGTCAACCTTCTTTCGAAAGATTTAAAAAAAACTATTATATTAATACTTATAACAAAAAAAAGTATGAAAATGAACATTTATTTAACTAAACATAAATTTATATTTAACTAAAATTTTATATCATAATTACACCAATATCTTTAGTCCATATAACAGAATGTGACATAGAATCCCATAGATGTATATGATTATCAAAACCACCACTTAAGAACTGGTTTTGAAATGGATGAACAGCAAGTGCCCAAATTTCTTCCTTATGTCCCTAAATAAGCAATTTATTTTTAATTAATATAACATTTAAATTAATAAAATTTTGAATTACATTTTTAAAATATTTACCTGAACAATGACTGAAAAATTAAGTGAAAACGTTCCTTGAAGTATACAATTTTTAATTGTTCCAACAAGTAAGAGATTGCCTTTGCCCTGAGCTAAGCCTCTAACTCCTCCTACTTGTTCTGGTAACTGAAGAAAGAAATAANGTGAAATTAACTCTATTATCAATTTCACAATATTTTTCTACTTTTAAAGAGAGAATTTACAAGTGATTTCGGGACTGCGAGACAATTAATAATGATATTTTTGCATCTGGAAGAAATACTCATTTGTATATAAATAACTTTATTTATTTTTATCTCACTACTGTATGTGATTATAATTCATACGGTATTAACAAAAAAAAAAATTATATATTTTAGCCTTAATGGAGCGTATAGGCTATACCTTTAACATTCTCTGAATACACCCCCTGTTATTCTTCATCTATTTTAGAATGTTTGCCATTATATTAAACACTCAAAGTTAATTCCTATTTACAGTCGAAAATAATAAAATATGTTTTACTTCTATTTTGTAGAACTATGTGTTAAAGTACAGAAAACTTTTTATATTAATACCGTTTTTAGTATATTTTTGGTTTTAATTTTGTTCATTCTAACATCTTTCCCGTCCCAACCTCCCAATTTAATCATGCTAGCGAACACATTCGCCTTAATTTTGAAAATCTACGGACGATTGTTCAATATTATAAGAATGTCGTTAATACGTTTTACTTTAAATTAGTGTATAAATTAAATGCCATGTAAAGTAACAGATTACAAAAAGGCCTTAATATACTTTTGTTATCCAGGATATAGTGCACAATTTATACACATCCTAATGGTGTAGTTTCTACATATCAGTCTCTTGCACTTACTGGCATGTTTTCTTTGTCTATTTTTCATGGGCAAATGCAACGCTTCTTCCATTTCTCACAATTATTAAGCTATGACATCATTTTAATTACAAGGTATTTCGGCCGCCAAACTTATGTAATAAATTTTAACAATAAATGTCGTGATTGCCCAAGGAAATGTCTTCCAGTCTGAGAAATAATAAACTGGTCTTACTGTCAAATGCGCAATAGAGTTTTCCCCATCAGAAGTGAGTTAAAGTAATCATAAAGCAAACTTATATTCTATATAAGGTATACATATAGTTTCACAGACAGCTATAGTTGCATGCCGTTTCTATTAAACTCTTTACCTAATCTTTCAAATTTCTCACAACAGTAAATGGTTTATTTCTTCAACTCTACAATAACCAGAATTACAGAGATCTCATTCCTGATAAAAACACGTTAGGATCCTGGCGGAATGAAGCGTGGAAAGGAGCTTCTAAAATGGTAGGAGCCACGGGAAAACATAATACTCGACATGCAGGCCAAACTAGCGAAATATATTAACAATGACGTAGGCTTATTCTTCAAAACCGTCGTCATTTATAGGAATTTATTCTATGAAATGTAATCGTATGTCCCTCGAAATCATTAACGATGTAATTAACAACTGACTGTCGATTGGTTTAACTAACTTGTTATTAGCTTGATTTATTAGGTGAATCCACTTGGACCATACGAATAATTAAATTCACCGTGGATGGAAAATGAAAGCAAATTTGATTGATTAAACGAAGTTTTGAAATTCAAATAAATATAAATGATTTCAGAGATTTTGCAGATGACAATACAGAGGGAAAAATTGCATCAATTCCTGAAACAATAAGAAAAGTTAGAGAAGTAAGTAATGCCTTAGCCAATTTGCAATGCAGAAGCTGAAACAGGTTTGTGTTAATGAATGTAATATTGATATGTATAAAAATAAAAATAAAAAAAAACACTAATTGTTGAACATTGAATTTGAATTCATGCAATCAATTTACTAGAAAAAGAATTAAAAGATTTAGATCAGTGTTTCTCAACGGGAGCGATTAGTAACAATTTATATTTTTTGGGGGGGGGAAACAATTTTCTGGGCGATATAGTAAACATTATATTAAGAATAATTAGATATTTTATTCGTTATATCGTACATAATTAAACAAATAACATTTTACTAGTTACTAGTCTATTCAATGCAGTACGCATTTGGCATTAGCTTTGGCAGGAATTTTGAAGTGAAAAGACGATATTACGTAACGGTTTTATTGAAGGGGGCGACGATTCGTTACAGGTTGAGAAACACTGATTTAGATTATTTTCACTAATAAATTCATTAATCTAAATAATAGGAGACATTAAATAAGTGGTTATTCTAAAAAATATATTGCCCAATGATTGAACTTTGTGCTATTTATTCCTCTAAACATAAAAAGTTAACAGAAACCAGTTTGACTCTAATAGTTATGTCAAGGACATCTTGAAATTAATTTGATTTTAAATTTTATTGCAAGTAAATAAAATATTAACATTTTAAAATTAAAATCCACTTATCTTAAGAAAACCAATAGCATACACTTCATAAAAATGTATGCAGTCTGAAATAAATCTTGTCAATTCTTTATTGGTATACATTTGTCTAATATAATTAAGAAAACATAAGACCTTCAAGCTTAACTTGGTCTCTATTTTATAACTATTTTCTTTAGTTGTATAATTTGCAATTCAACACTAAAGAAAAGACTACTCACCATCTGACCATCCCATTGTGGGACTGGCCAAACCCATGATAGGTATGATTAAAAGGATGTCTTCATGCCAACAGAGTAAAAAGAGTGTTTAAAAGAAAAAGACTGGTGTCATTTTGATATAATCAAACAGGATATCCCAACTTGATATACATTTTTAATTAAGCAACTTATAATGAAACATTTTTCAATTAAATCTTCTGCAACTATTCTAGTTAATTTTAAGTAAATATTTTAAAAATTTGAGACAATTATTTCTAACTATGTATAACACAAAAGATAACAAGAAGAAAAATTCTGTCAAAAGTTCTATGGATATAGATAGTTGTCAAATATAGATCTAAGTAATTTTATAATATAGGATTACAGAAGTTAAGATATGATTTTTATTGCAATAATTACAAAAAAACAAAACAAATGAAGACAAGACTTTCCTCAATAATTTATTTATTTATTTCAAATCAATCCCTGTTCAGAAAATTGCATCTTCATTAAAACTTAATAAAATCTTTTAGATAACTCCAAATATGAAAGATAAAAAATGTTCATAAAAACTTTTATTCTTTTGATCCTCAAATGATCTCTTTAATCATTTCTGAAGATTATTATATTCATTAACCTACAATCACATGAAGTAGTTTTTTTCACACAATTGCAGTTAAAAGATGCTAATTTTCCACACAATTATATTGCACATAATTGCCATTCCTTAAATTTGATGATTCTCAAAAATCAAGTAATGTGTCTTCTCAATACTTTTCAAATTTCAACATTTTATTATTTAATTTACAAGATATTGTTTTGTTTATAGAACTTGTCCTTGACCAGGTTCCTATAGGGAGCCCTTCAAACTTTGTATTACCATGGGTTAATGTGAAACAAATTAAACTGAAAATAAATGACAGCAGGGATGAAATGTTTCTAAGGACCAGAAAATGATTTTTTAGTATTTTTTGGGCAGAAAATAAAACCACAAAATTATGTAAATTGTTGAAGATCATAGCATATCAGGCCACCATATCATTATGTCAAGCATAGCTGACAAACATCCATGATGTCAGATCATCAAAAATGATATCAGAGTGGAAAATTGCCACCTTGTGAATGTTATCATGTGACAATAAAAAAAATAATTTTATGCAATTGCAAGCATATAGTAGCAACTTTCCATAATGGATTTTTGAGGATCTATGGTAAGCAGAAAAAATTATTTTCAATCAAAATTTTCACAATACTTGATAGATAGGATATAGCATGAGGATATCTTGGCAGCACAGTTAAGTAAATCAATTTGTGAAAGATGTCCATGAAAAAAATTGTAGGTGTGAAACATGTGATCACAAGTTAATGATTTGCATATATGCGTGTGTGTGTGTGTGTGTGTGTGTTTAAAATTAAAAGTTTTTCTTAGAAATGTATATCTGCTGAAACAACAATGTTTCATGTACTGCTTAATTCAATTTAATAGTAACAAAATTAATTAAAAGAATGCTAGGTAAAACTTACCTTTGCTTCTCTACCTGTTTTTGAGAAAGTATGATCCCACTCTACAATTCTACGATCTTTACCTCCACCAGTTACATATGTGCCATCTTTCATAGAACATATAGTAAATACTCCTCCTTCGTGGATATTATATAAAGTACGAGATACTCTATTAGCACCTAAAACGTAAACCTTTTTCAAATAACTATAATTAAAACTCCTTGTAAAAATTATTTTAGAAATAGTACCTCTTGTCCACATCATTATATTTCCATTTGAATCACCGGTTAACAAATCTCCTAATTCCGTAAAAGCCATACATAGCACATACTTTGGTTTTTCATGTTTCTTTAAAAATTAATAAATAATAAATTTGATATTATTATATATAGATAAATTAAAATCTATATGCTGATCTTGGCATGCAACCATGCTTTTCAATGATCTGTTCATTGAATAATGAAAAAATATAATGCATAATTATAAGACAAATATTCTATCAGTTAATGAGTTAATGCATAAAAAAAGCATAAATACAAAGTAAATGCAATTGAATTATATATATATATAATTTATAACAACTGTCAGATCATGACCATAAAAATATTTGGTATATTAAAATGCAGCAAAAGTAATATTATACATAAGAAGTAAGAAAATATGAAAAAAAAAAAACACTGAAAAAAAAAAACTGATCAAGTTTATGGACTCTACAAGCATAAATTATAAGTTAAAAATTACCATGTATTCATTGATTTAATAAACAACTTATAATTTTCAAACCTAAAATTAATTTCAATCTAAATAATAAAAATTCCATTTAAATAATGGATCCCATTTGACTAATAATCCAAATTTAATGAAGTTTATAATTAAATTACATTTCAGATTTTAATTTAAATTACTTAAATTTTAAATTTTTATTATATATTATTTTTCAAATACAGTTGAATCTGTCTATCTCAAATCTCATGGAAATGAGAAAAAAATTTCAAGATACATGTTTCAAGATTTAGAGGTTCATATACAGTAAACAGTAATAGATTTGAATGAAGATACAGTATTTTACTAATACAGTAGCAAGTACAGTAGATACTTATATTAGATATAAAATATTTTTGACATACCTCAACAGAAATAGTTTGTCAATATTTTCATCTGACTGACTTTTTTCAACCTATAAGATGCAAGCCAAACTCATAGCCAATCAGAAAAAAACAGCATTAATTACAATTACAGTATGTACTGTATTGTAAGAAATGTTTCTCAACTACAATTTAGGCTATCAAAATATAGTCACTGAGCTTTTATATTTGTAATTGACATTTTAGTCCATAATTTGAAATACAGAAGTTTTGGGAAAAAATTATTTGAGATAAACATGAAAAATATGTTGAATTTAGGCTGAAAATGCAGGGAAAAAAATAAATTTTGAGATAAACATGTTTGAGATAGACAGGTTCAATCGTAGAACAACTTTAGTTTAAGATAGTTTAAAGTCAACCTTTTAAAAATGTAATAAAATGAGATGATGAGCAGTAATAATTAGTGCATAGACATTTATTAAAAGTATGATTATTACCTGAAAATATGTAAATAAATAATGAAATGAAGCCTAATTTCTGAGCAAAAATAGTTTTAGATTCACATGGTAACAAATGTACCTTCTGATGAAAGAAGATAGCTAATGAATAAATTTTTAAAAATCTTTAACAAAATCATTATCTTTGAAACATTACAGAAAGGCAGATTTAAAAATCTGCTATTTAAATATTTAAAAATGTTTAACACCAAGATGTTAAACATTCCATTTCCGTCATGGTTGTTTTTATTTCATGGCTAATACTTTCATTCTATTTGTCTGCAACCATTCTATTAAAACTGACTTGCTACTATCTCTAGTAAAATCTAATTTTCAAAGTATACATATAACTAACACCTTATCCTTGCCTAGAAATATAATTTATTTCAAACAAACGTTTTCAGCCTGATTCACAGGCCATCTTCAGATTGAGAACCAAATTTGAATTAAAGGATTCCATTAATGGAATACAAAATTCAAAATTAAATAAGCAATGGAATAAGATTAAATAAACAAATTAAATATGAAATAACCAACAGAGTAACATAAAATAAAAACATAAAAATGTAAAAAATGTACATAGAAGTATTAAGAATTACAATTATTAACACATTTAATAAAATTACTATTTTGACTGGTTAGAGCTCTTATTAAATTTCTTAACTATAAACTTCCATGCAGAGGGAAGACTTTCTGCGTACCTCGCATTTAAACAGCCTTCTAGTATTTTACTCCTATAAATCTGCAACTTTTCAGCTGTCAACGCCAAAGATGGGGAAGATAAAGGTTCTATGACAGCTGCCTCATTCCATTTGACTACAGATCCTGGTGCTTGTGCCATTTGGGACAAAATTGTTGCATTAGACTCCTTTCTGATATAACTATGTTCTTTGATTCTAAGTCCCAAACTCTTGGTGGTTACTCCAATATAGTCTTTTTTAATGCCCAATTGCATATTTTCATAAGGAATTCTATAAACCCCTGCTTTCTCCTCTGACATTATAACATCCTTATCATTTCTGAGGATTTTGTATAAATTAGGGGCCCATTTTATAAGCATTCTTGAACCTTTTCTGCAAGCAATCTCTTTCATAACGCTATTCATGCTTTCATTATATGTAAATTTTACAATTCCAGTGGGAGCATTTTTAAAAGACCCTTTCTTGTTGTTCACTTCATACTTCCTAACCATTCCCAGAATTGCACTTTTTCGGTAACCTAGGGTCTTGGCCACACTCATTATTCTATTTATTTCTTTACTTCTGTCTTGTACTATTTCACAATACAAAAATGCCCTTCTTATTAAAACTCTGAAAGCTGAAATTTTATATTTATACGCAATATGCAATTTTGCGTATAAATATAACGCATAGAGCTCTAACCAGTCGAAATAGTAATTTTATAAAATGTGTTAATAATTGTAATTCTTCATACAGTAATACCTCGACTTACGCGAATCCGGAGTTACGCGATTTTCAAATCTCGTCGATTCGTCTTTTGTTTGAGCGTCATGCAACTCTCGATTACTCACTCCCCCCCACACTATTGTTTGGCTTACATGTTCGGACATGTTGCGCGGAATCGACACATAGCTACAATTTATTTTGTGTTATTTATTTCTGTGTTTGTTATATCTACGGAGATTCGAGAGACTGTATGTGGTTATTTCTTGTAACCGTGAACAAATCAAAAGACGAGATAAGATTAACGAGAACATTTATTAGCTTACATACATCCGATTTGGGTTTTATGCAAATTGCGAAATTATACCCCGACTTACGTGAATTCGACTTACGCGGTTATCGCTCGGGCCCACCTATCGCGTAAGTTCGGGGTATTACTGTACTTCTATGTACATTTTTTTACATTTTTATATTATTTTATGTTACTCTGTTGGTTATTTCATATTTAATTTTTTTATTTTATCTTATTCTGTTGCTTATTTAATTTTGAATTTTGTATTCCATTAATGGAATCCTTTAATTCAAATTTGGTTCTCAACCTGAAGATGGCCTGTGAATCAGGCTGAAAACGTTTGTTTGAAATAAATTATATTTCTCGGCAAGGATAAGGTGTTAGTTATATGTATAGTGATTTGTTAAGTGTTTTATGATATTAATTTTCAAAGTATTCTTTAATTTAATTTTGTTGTCTACTAAAGCTAAGCAGTCTTAAGAAATTTCGTTTGTGTTGCCTTATGTGTGCATAATATTTTTTAAACTACCATTTAATTTAAATTGTCAGCTATTTTCCAGAATGAAATTTAATTTAGTTCACTTTTCTCTCTCCTGTTTGATAGCTTGTAGTTTGATAGTAATGTGAATGCAAATAATTAACTTATGATGCAATATTTATTTAAAAATAAAAAATGAAAATAATAGTATGAAAAATTTTTGAATAAAATGAAATGCATTCTTCTTGTTAACAATTATTACTTGAAGGTTAGTAAAAACCAACTTTATAAGTGTGAAAAATCGAGTATGTTCAATATTGCAATTGAAAAAGTTAATTAAATATAATATTTTAAATATGTAAAAGTTATACTTCATATTTTTATAAACAGAATATTTCTTATATAATAAAATATACTTACTTCAAATATTCCAATTTTTTTTGCTAATGTTCCTCCTTCAGTATCCCAAAAATATACATGTCCTTTACCTAATGTAATAATAGTATATCGATCCATTGGATGAAACTCAACAGCAAGTACTGTTTCAGAAGAACACTAAAATGAAATAAAGTGTTGTATTAAATTTATGAAAAATATTTACTAATATAATTTTAAATTTTTAGAATTTGATTTTTATAAAAATATTGATTTCCATGTGAATATGAATTAAAGTTATATTGATTTACAAAATCAACATTAGATTCCAGATCTTATAATGTGTTAAATCACTTGATACATTGTATATAGTAATAGATTTAATACCAACACTGTAAGGAGTTGAGTCCTAGTGTTATTTTTATGTTTGTGAATTTTCCTTATTTTCCATTTATAATTTAGAGTTAGCAAGAAATAAGTTTCCCACTTCAGAGAGCTCTGGATTGTGTTCTACTGATTGAAATGAAACAAAATTTGAACTACAGATAATTCAAACAATGCGCTTGACATTTTTTAAATAAAAAAATAGTACAAAAATCTGTTGATAGGTGGCACTGGAGCACACAGAAATATTGAATATGTGTACACATATAAATGTTGAATATGTAGCACTAAAATTGCTCAATATGCTTAATATGTCCTATATCATTTTGAACAATGTGCTTTAATCTCAAAACCATATTTTCCACAGCTGAATGCAATGAGTGTGCCAAAATATCCAGAACATGGCACTGAATGTTGTCCTTCAGATTGAAACAGATGCAGGTCTTCTATGATAGACGTTGTCCTTCAGGAAACCCCATAACCAAAAGTCGCACAGGGTGATATCAGGCGTATCATAAATACTATTCGTGTTACAGTTGTTGTACGGATTGTTGTACTATTTTTTTATTTAAGAAATATCAAGCACATCACTTGAATTATTTGTAGTCCAAATTTTGTCTCATTTTGAGCAGTAAAATGTACTCCAGAGCTCTCTAAAGCAGGAAACTTATTTCTTGCTAACCCTGTAGTTTGGAGTGTATATTTTATGTTAAGGATAAAGACTACACACTTTCCCTTGCTAAATTTTAAAACTGCTGCCATCCAAGCAATTGTCATTTGTGAATGTCTTCATAATCAATCTGAAAATGGCATCTCTAGTTACATAAAATTATCATCTATTTAATGTTTTATAATTTACTATTAGTCAATAAATATTTATAACTACTTTGTTATAAATATCCTCCTTTCTTATACAAGAAAGTTGGCAACCCTAATTGTAACAAAAGCCATATTAGACTTTTCTAATTATTTTTTCAAAAATTTTGACAATTAATAAATATATTTTAAAAAATCTGTAACCAATTCAAATTCAAAAAATATGACAAAATTTTGAATTATCCAATGATTAAAATAGTCCATACAGTTTAAAATACAAAAATATATTCATTCAATATAGTTCAATATAAAGTTATATTATAATTTTTAAACAAATTTTATTTATTAAATGTAAAATATTTACCTTTGTCTCTGTTATTTTACTTCCTTTTTCACTTTTTTGCCAGTCCCATAATGATATTGTATGTTCTGGTGAATTGTCAATCACACATATTTGTGAACCTCCATCCTAAAAATAACCAAACAAAAATATTTAGTTAAATTTAATTTATATTTATGCCAATGGTTGAGCACAAAATCATAGTTTAATTAAAAATATCATTTGTTACTGAACATTTAACATAACTTTATATTAAAGAAGTAAAACAGATATAATTTCATGTATCATTAATTTGTATGAATATCTATAGTAAAAAAATTTTACAATATTGTAAATTATATATTATCTTGTCATTATAAAAGATTGAAATAATGATAAATTAAAACAGATAAATATTCTTTATTTTTTTTGCAATTTTATTATGTTTTTTTTTTTTATAAATATAAGTAATAATTTATAATATATTTCTTTTCAAGCACATTTATTTTGCATTCAATGTTTCTATGAGAGTAGAACTGTATCTATCATGGAGTGGAAACAGGGTCATCTCATTAAATAATCATATATCAATTAGTGATGTGCCGGATCATTAAAAATGTATATCCGCGGATACGGATACAGATCTCTACTTTTGTACTCAGACGGTGCCGGTCCGTGTGACCTTGGACAAATAGTTGACGCTTTGCGTTAATAACGCAACGTGTTTTGACTTGCACTGCGTGTGTTTTCGTTTATAGTGTGAAAGTGTGCTAAATTAGAATTCACCACAAAGGCAGACAGGATAAAGTAACAAAAGTTGATATAATTTTCCAATTAAGCTATTTCGCGTCTTTATACAGATTCTATTTTGGGAGATTCCAACTTCACGGTGCAAACAGTAGCATGCGAAATTACAGCGATAATAATAGTTCACTGTATCCAAAGCACGTGTACAATACAGATCCCTATCGCGACAATATAACCTGGAACCTTAAAACTAACCTTAAACACTAACTTAACACTAATAACAGAAAAAGGGATAGAATTAAGAAGACAGAAAAAATGGTAGATAAGATAGAAATAGGGATATCTGGGGTTTTGTCCCTTTTTTCAGCTTGTTTCTTTATGCGTACTATTGGGTGGGATAACACACGTCCTTCTCCTATAACTGACCTCTTCTCTTCTACAATAATTAGGATTTTTTCCTTCCACAGTCGTCAATATGACCTTAAAACATGATCTTTTTTCTGAACTTATTTCTGAACTATCCGGTCATTGAAAATATGAGTCCTTCGTATTTTCACCTCGTCCGTACATTCTGCCGTCCAGTTTACGAATGACCTGTTATGTCACTTCTCTTTTTTCTCTGGCTCCTGTTTACACCTTTGCTCCTCAAATTTCTAGGAACTGCTCATCCCACCCAAGGGACAGGGAATAGATAAGAAAGTTCTAGAAGAAAATAGAACAATAGAACAAAGGGTAGAAAGAAGAAACGAAACTAAACTAAAATTAATATTTACAAAAATATAGCGTACCGCCACAATA